CCCCCCCCCTTTAACAACAAAAAGGTTGCTTCTCATGACAATCAAAATATATACAACCTTAATTAAAAAGAAAGAAAGTGAAATTTTGGGTGATATGTACAGGTCAAGGAAGCTTCACTACTACTTACCTATGGTCAACCCAAAGGGGTTCCCTATCTTATTAATAGAGAGTCTTGACAAATAGTACCTATGTCAAGGGTTTTATCCTCAATAGATTATTCAACTAAGATCCAAGCACATGAGAGTGGAGAATATTGGATGCATGAATTGTACCAATACCACCTACAGGATGTATTGGTTACTCCAATTAACGCATAGGTGAAACAATTCAAACTTTGAATCCAGCCCCATCCCCCATGAGGACTAATAAAAATTATTCCTTTAAACCTTCGTCCAACCAACAACAGAATTTCCCCTCAAAATTCCTTTATGGAAAGGGACAACACTAGATGTCTATATGTTTACTCTTGGCATAAACTTCATTGTTAGTTCAGTGGTTCCACTACTAAGGGGCTCACACTGATTTGTAACATCTATTGGCTTCTTTTTGAGCCTCCAAAGGGGCTCACACTGATCTACTGGGTATTATCTGGTAGGACAGAGGACTTCCTAGCAGGCAATGCATAAGGTGTCTTATTGTGTCTTTTATCAGATTGCTTTCTAGCATTCATACGGCACATGGACAAATAATAAGTGACTTGGATGACTGGTAGCATATTATCTATCACTATCTTCTGTACATTTAATTTGATTATTGGTAAGAAATTCCATTAATTGGGTGGAATGGAATCCATTTATTTTACTGTGTCTGTAATGACTTACTATTGGAGAAAATCTCTGGTGTTTACTTTTTTCCTTTATGTTTGTGGCTCTAGTGGAATAATGGGTTCCCTGGCTTATTTTGCAGGTCAGACATGACCGAAGATCAAATAGTAGTAGATCTTGGCTTTAGGACAAAAGTTCTACTGTGGGGTGGCATTCTTCTTGGCTCACAGAAATCAATCTCCAATAAAACAAAATACTACTTGATCAATTAATCAATATCTATACTGAGAAGTATCTCTATTCAAACTATCTAAATCTAAGTAAGAGTCAACCATGACAAATGGAAGAAGACTCAAGCTTCTTAACCTCAGACCGATATTTCTAACAAAAGAAACTAGCACTTCAACCTCAAAGCAACAGTATAGCATAGAAACCACCTTAATCTCTTTGTTCCCATGCAACTTCCGAAACCACCTAGCAATTGCATCAGATGAATGAATTGTAGCCTTCTTTTAGTGATTATGCCAACACTAATAGATTCCCTTCTTTCCCATGGGCACAACACAAATACATGGAACATAAAAGCCAAAGCACAAACTGCATAAAATCTAATAGACCTAAAATAGGGCCATCACAATAATTCACAATCAAGAATAATTGAGGATTTTTGACGACCCTAAGCCATAGGCATGTTTGTTTCATTTTCTTTTCTAACATTTTGTACTGCTGGCATTAGGATTACATAAGCTCCTATCGCATTGAAATTATTACCTTTGGCAAAGTACGCATTTTGACTATAAAGTAGTCCTTGCCAAGAAAAGGAATGTGCATTTTGATTTTTAAACCATCCATCTGTTTTACTGATCGTGGAATCAAAAAGTCATTTACAATCCATAATCCTAAGTTTCAAGTTTCAACTAAACCCTTTTTTAGTTTCTGTAAGCAACAAACCCTTTTCTTGTTTCTGTAAACAATAAACCCTAATTCCAAGATGATCGATACTTGCATAGATATAATTCAGGAAAGAAAAAGAAGCTAGAAAATAGAGAGGATGGAAGGGAGAGGGATGATAATGACCTGATGGTGGTGACGCCAGAGGTCCCACAGTAGATGTAGGTGAAGGGAGAAGCTGTATCTTTTGAAGATGGTTTACTGCAATGGAACCCCTTTTGGATCGTCAAAAAGGGCTGTTGGGGGATTGCTCCAGCTTGATACGGATTTTCTCCTATGTAGTAGAATTGCGGCTAAGCCTTTAACTGTGTTTGTTGCCCTCCACCGATTAATGCCCTAGAATGGGAGAAAATAGAAATGAATTAACCATATGTGAAGAAGAAGAAGAAAAGAATCTTTACCTTTCATTCTTTGTCAGAAGCATTTCTGAATCGATTTCTCTCTCAAAAAGGTTTTGAGCGGGAGCATAAGGCGGGAGTGTGAGTTTTTGGATTTTTGCTCTCTCTCACAGATGTAAGAAGCTGGCTTAAGTCCGGTTCAAATGCAAAAATGTCGTGCCAGTTCTCGAAGACCACCGGTCCACCGCCCAATTTTTTTATTTTTGTTTTCTGGGCGGTAGGGCTGTTCATAAGAAGGCCCAATCCGACCAAACCGACCAATTCGGACTGATCCAACCCAAGTCGGTCGGGTTTTCATTAGCATCAGTCGGTTTCAGATTGTACAAATTCATAAATCGATGGTTTGGGTCGGTTTCGATTTTTTTTGTGTAAAAACCGAAACTGATCCGATCCGAACCGACTTAGTTCTTACTTAACTAAAAACTGAAATATCTGAAAATATATATTCCAATATCTATATCTAAAAAATATATATTATGAAATATATCAGATATATATTTTCAGAAAATATATATTTCAATATATTTGTATGTATATTTTTATTTATATATATATATATATATATATATATTTTCTAAAATATATATTTCAGTTTTAAATATATTTCCAGAAAACTAGGTGGCCATGGGGGGCATGGATGAACTTAGAGCCGAAACCGACCCAATCCGATTCAAACCGACCAGGTTGGTTTTGCTTAACACTGGGTCGGTTTCGATTTCCATCTTAGATAACTCAACCAGGTTGGGTCGGTTGGAAAACCTTCAGTAAACCGACCCAACCCGACCCATGAACAGTCCTACTGGGTCAAGACCGCCGGTTCAGCTGTGTCTATAGCGGTGGTCTTAAAGACCGCCGCCTCTAAACTGCCGGCTTACATCATTTTTCTTGTAGTGTGCAAATGCATTCTCTGTAATTGATGCAATAATCCAAGAGAGCACCGGTTTATCTTTCTCAAACCGGTCTAAATACGCTGGATTGAGAATCATTATCACCTCCATTCGGATCTGGTATTTGTTTTGATGGGGCAGCAATCGATCCGTCTATATACCCCATTAATCGATTTGTGTAGAGAATCAGCAGAAGTAGAGTAAATAATTGTCATTGTTGAACTTGGTAGAGAGATAATGTACTCCATTAGAATGAGTAGAGCTCGAGCCTGAAGCGTTATTGGTGGCTAAGACACACCTATTGAATTCTGGGAGCCAGAACTGAAACCGCGTCCATCAATGAAGGATCTGATACCAAATTGAAATAGCAGAGTTAATGATAATGTGGATGGATGATGAAATCCACGTCCTGTTTCTATTTATAATAGTTAAAAATTGTACACGTAGAAGGAGTCCATTAAGATTACAGCTGGAAGGATGGGTGTTATCCTGAATGCGACGAGTGTTATATCAAGACTCATCGAGAGACCAATGATGCAGTAATTCTACGGTTACAGGAAAATACACGTGGAGATATATCTCCAGTAATGGTAAATAATATATCTAACTTTGCTTTTTATTTTTTCTGTTTTGTTTTTTTTAAGCATATCCACTACTTTCAATGTTTCAGGTAAACCCCATTTGCAGATCTGAAAGCAAATCCCCATTTGTAGAGCATTTAATGTTTGCTCTGATGTTTTCTTCCAAATACCAGCAAAAACGTTCAGGTGTTTGTTCACAAACAGCAATACAAATGGGCTAGAAATGTTAACCCAATTTGCATTCGTAAATCAATCTGAGGGCTTTTTTACACTGTACATATTTGTTTTGTATTGCAAACAAACGCACCCTAAGAGGTATTTGGTTTCTGCTAACTGCTGCAAGAGGGCAGACAACAATGCTCTCGCTAGTCGCTAGCTATGAAGAAGAGTATATTTAGCGACTACCGATCGACCAAATAGTACGCCGAAGGAGGCAACTCTGATTCTTTAGAAAACTGATGAGTTTATATCAGAGCAGAGGAATATTGCTTGAAAGCAAAAGCACCGTTCATCTCCAATCCTGCTGCATGCCCATGTGGTCGCTCATTAAAGCTTGAAAAGTGTTAATGGGTGCATTGAGCATTGTAGCTGCATGTAGGTTATCTGCACTCTAATGTCTGTCTGTGTTCTATTATTCTAATTACCAAGTATTTCTCGATGGCCGTGTCTTGGACTTGGGTTGATGCCAAAATGCTTTAAGCTCCATCGTATTCGTATTGAACCTGCCGATTTGCGTCATGACACTTTCTCTCTCTCTGAAATAGCTCCGGAGACTCCATGCGGTGGACCGATCCCATGATCCACGCCGTTGAAAATATTATGTGATCAGATAATAATTTACGGGTAGCTACGGTGGGATCCACATCCACATATCTTATGTCGGGGAAACGACGTAACTGCTTCACTTCTACCAAATACTAAAGTTACTCAAGGAACACGCGGGAAGAGAGAGAGAGATTTTCCTTAAATGATAAACAGAGAATACTCAAACGGATCCAATATGATATCTATCTATCTATTTATGCATCTTTATAAATTTTTTTAATAAAAACATGTATATATATATAATGAAAATAATTAAAAAATATCTGTATTTTATATTTTTTATTTAAATTATTATATTTTATTTACTTTTTTTTAAATTAAATTAGATCAGATTAGATTTCAGATATATCTGACATCCTTATAATTAGATTAGATTAAAAAATATCTGACATCCTTATAGTATCAGATTGAACTCGAATATACCATAATTCAAATCCAATCCAATCAGTTTGCATCCCTATTTGTCTGAATCTGAATCTGAATTCAAATATGATCCCTTTATAAACTTTGGAGAGAATTACATGGATTCATTCCATCTGATAGTATTTATATTTATATTTTATCTATTGATAGTTGGTCTAAATGTTGTGAATTTAGTAAATAGTTGTATGTCCAAGTATCATAAAAGTGATTTTTAATTTAATGAATGGTATACTATACCTAAGGGTGTCAATGGACCAGTTTTGGATTGGACCCGTTCAGTCCAAAATCAATTTGGATGGATTGGATGGACCAATCCAGTCCAAAATAGTTATTAGATTAGATTGGACCTGGTCCATCCATAAAAATTTATATTACATTGGGTTGGATTAAGCTAATATTTGGTCCATTGATATAAGATAAGAATATATTTGTCAATGGACCGGGTTTGGGTTGAAACAAATCTAGATCAAAATGAATTTGAACAGAATGGATGGTCCAGACATTGAATTGGACCAGTTCAAATTGGTCTAAAACATTCATTGGATTGGATTGGACGTGGTCCATTTATAATAGACTCACATGGGACTGGATCAGATTGGACCAAATCCAGTCCAACTGACACCCCTAACTATACCAAAGCTATTTTTTATATTATTATATTATTCAATTTGAATATAGGTTTATCCAATTCAATATAGAAAAAAAAAATGGTCCACAACCGGTTTGGCGACATTCCATTTTTTTATTTAAAGTAGTTTAAAGATTAATTAAAAACTCTACTTTTTTATTAAAAGCGTACGTGTTTCCCTTGATAAAAAAAAGGGATGTACCCAAATAAACCGTCATATTTATGCAGAATCAGCCAGTGTCATATCACGGGAAAAAAGGGGTTATGTTCTCAATAAAATATGAAAACAAACAAGGTAAAAATATGTGCTTTTGATTGAAAAATGGTCTATACATAAATATAAGTTCTGATTTGGATTGTAATCCTTAATTTATCTGTAATGTAGAAAGACTGGAGACTGTATTTTGCCTCTTTATTAATAGAAAATGAACCTGTTTTATTTAAGGAAATGTGGGCCCAACTCCAAAAATAATCAGGCATGAAGCTTAGAGCCCAAGCTCAAGTCCATGGGTATAAGACTTTGTCCAAAGCTGGTAAAGAATGGGTCGGGCCGGATCGGCCCGTCCTACCCGGCCCATCAACGCGTTTTTTTATTTTTATTTGCTTTTTCTTGAAAAGCCATGAACACGTCTATTTACAAATTGCAATGGCCAACTCTCTGCATCACTACTTGATACTTAGATTGGATAAATCCCAGCTAAAATAGACATCAACGTCCGCTTAAAAGTAAGAGCCCAGCCCATACCAGCTAGGCACGGTGACTCAACCTAGCCAGGCACATCTAGGCCCAACTTAGGCTTTTTAACAAATAAAGCCATGGTGATGGGCTCAGGACTCGTTCACCAAAAGCAAAAAAGCAAAAAGCAGTCCTTCATAAACCATAAAGCTGTTGTTTATTGTTTATTAATTTCACATATTTACGTCAAACCAAGCGTGTAAATTAGATTTACCAAAGAAGAAATAAACAAGTGCAGATACCGAAGACATGGGAAACTTCTGCACCACAGGACTCTCTCTGTTGCTAGATGTGCACAATTCCAGCTCCACTCCCCCATGCATGTTAGCCCATCCACCACTTGTCCCTCTCCACAACTGAATAAGGCAATAAGCAACATCAAATTATTATATTTTACAAATTTCTCTCTTAAATCCCAATCTCGAAGTCTCTGATCACTCTCTGATGCTACAACAATCTCCTGTCTTCCCACCAACCAAAACCCAGATAAACCACCCAGAGATCATCATTTGGCTCAACCAAAACCGCCCAGAATTCCGTCTCTAAGTTGCTATAAATCCCCACTTCCTTCACGACCCATTTCAACGTCTATCATTCTCTGCTCCTTCTCCTTTTTAAGGGAAAGAAAATGGGTTTTGTTCAGGTCAAGCTTTTTGTAGCTCTTCAGCTCTCACTTCTTTTGGTGGCCTCTCTTACTGTTTCAGCTGGCCATCAAGTCGATGAAGTGGTTGATGAGATAAAGGTAGCTGCTAACGTTCACTCTCCGGCTCCGGCACCTAAGCCATACTCACACCCACCCCGACATTCACCTAAGCCACGCCCCCACCCACGTCCAGCTCCCAAGGGTCAAGTTCCGACTCCGGCTCCGGCGCCTAAGGCACACGTCCCACCTCCTGTACCACCTCCAAAAGTGTCTCCTCCGTCGCCGGCACCTCGTCTTCCGTACGTACCCCCAAGAACTCTGGTGGCTGTACAAGGAGTTGTTTACTGCAAATCATGCAAGTACCCAGGAGTTGATACGCTTCTGGGTGCTACTCCAATTGCTGGTTAGTTAGATTCCTCCACTTCAATTTGTACTTGGCAACTTCTCTTTACGTGAGTCACCTGATGTCTCACCTCCGGTGCTTCTTCTGGAAAGATTTCCCCTGCTAATTAACAGCCTGACATCCATGCAACTTCACAGTTTGCATTTTGCAATTGAATAGTGTGTCTGTGTACGAGATAGATAGAGAGAGAGAGAGAGATGATATTTTGATTTCCAAAGTAGATTTGTGTTTTGCTTCATGATCTAATGATTAAAGGTATATATGGTTGTTTTGCTTTGGCAGGTGCAACTGTGAAGTTGCAGTGCAATAACACCAAGTCCCCAGTAACTCAACAGGCGACTACAGACAAGAATGGATACTTCTTGCTGCAAGCACCGAAGAAGGTGACCACCTACGGAGTTCGCAAGTGTAAGGTGTTCTTGGTCTCATCACCTTTGGCCTCATGCCAACAACCAACCAATCTTCACCAGGGATCAACTGGGGCCGTCTTGAGGTACGAGAAGCCCAAAACCCCGATCTCGTTCGCTCTCTACACCGTCGGGCCTCTTGCCTTCGCTCCCAAGTGCGTCAAGTGATTGCATCAGTGAGAAGTCAGTCACATTGTTAGTCCTCTTTGTTTCAAATATTTGTAGCCATTTTAGGGTTTAGAATTCATGGGTATGTCCTAGGCAGAACTGCAGAAGTGTGTGAGAGCTTTTTTTTTTTATGTAGTGAGTGACTACCTTTTTCTTCTTTGGTGTTTTATGTTTAAGAAATTAGAGAGTCGACTGGCTTTGTGACAATAAATGATATATTTAGTGGTTGTAGAACAATAAAAATTACAGTGTAGACTGTAGACATGAATTCCTGGGTTATTTTCTGATTCTTTCAAACCATTGGGGTGCCACTTTGAATAAATGTGGCTCCACGTGGTGGAACACTTTATTTTAAAAAGAATTTGAAGAAAAAAGAGACAAAGTTGTTTGTGCTTTAGGGAGACAAAATCATGCACATGCAGAGAGAATGAGAAAGGAAATGATGGAAGGAAAGCAGGCGTAAAGAGATCCTTACAAGTTCTTGAATAAATCCATCTTCATCGACACTGGACCACCTGATATATATGTTTTTACTTTAGGGGCCCACCCATGAATGGAATGCCTCTCAAACCTGTTAATGATTGCAGCCTTGCAGGAGGATTGGCCGAGTTTATCAACTAATATATAGACTTAATATTGTGTTTTTCTGAGACAAAAAATCATTAAAAAGGTTTACTGATCTGATCAAACAATCAAACAAGGAGTTTTTCTTACATGACTCGTCATTTTTTTGTCATCTGGAGGTATGACGTGGCTAATTCTACAATATATTTTTTTACCTTTCCTTTTGGCGTCATGGGATAGTAGGAAACAGTCTGCAAAAAAGAAGAGAAAAAACACGTAGAAAGAATATACGTGGCGTGTCGATAAATTAAAGGTAATGGAAACAATCCTTGATGAACCATACGCCTTCAGAAAATCAGATTGATCGGATAAATCCTGTTCCTGTATACTTCCAAGCATCCAGTCAGTTGCCCTTTATTAAGGGTAACTAGATTTGGCAGAGAGCATACAGAAAATGATTTTATCAATAGGAATGGTGGGATCACAGTGGCAATTTTGTTGTACTAGGAGTAGGAGCACCCATCAATTAAATGGCCTTATCCGTGCTCAATTCAATGCAACAAAATATTGGTGGTAGGTTGGTAGCCTGTTAATGTTGTTGATTTAACTGAGATGCTTCCATTTTGAACAGAAATGTGACCAGAGTTAAACGATCAACTCAATGGAAAGAGCTCTTGTAAACAAAGTAGGAGAATTAAATCCAAACCCTGATCTGCTCCTTCAATCCAAACCAAACACTGTAGAACAACCGACTGTAAGGAGAATTAAATGCTGGGTGTGGGCTGAAAAGAAGTCTGACACCATGAAGATTACCCACACCAAGAAGCAAGGTAACCGGTAAGTTATTTAACATACGATCCGCATACCTTGCACTCTTTTAAGAAACAAAAAATTTACGACACATGGAATAATGTGAGAGATGGCAGAGCTGCAATTATTCGATTTCTGTCAAACTTTGACAGACGATCAGTGATCACCCACCCCCATCTCTCACTAGAGTTAAAGTTGAGTACGACTAGAGTGGACCATCCTTACCTGGGAACCTACACTTGATAAAAGCAAGACCATTTGGCTGCATCACAAAATTAAGCAACAAACCTACATGTATTTCCATAATTAAACATCACAGTATAGGCAATTACACAAATAAATTATAGTTGTATAACTTAAAGAGATAGCTATGTTGGTTTGCTTCAGGAGGTTAGTTTATTTGAGAACCTCCTTAGAATGAATGAATGATGAACAAAGAAGTGAAGAGGATTTTTAATAATATGAGATGGATCAAGCAACAATAGATGGCAACCATTCAAGAGTTTGTCCTGCAAACATGGGAATAATCTCTCCAGATGCAAATGCATAAGATTCAGGCACCTTCCACGGGGTCTTGATCAACTTGATTTTTGATTTGTTCCTTGGAAGACCGTAGAAATCTGGGCCATTAAAGCTCGTAAAAGCCTCTAGTTTGTCAAGCGCGTTAGCCTAAAAACAATAAAATACATAGTTATCAAACAAGGTGGCAAAGAAACAACAATGACAGGGGAGGAAAAATGATAATCATTTCATTTACATTGTTATGAATGTTATGCTAGTATTTTAAAGTTGACAAGGGTTCCAAAAGCATTAAGGTTTTTAAGAAAGTAAAAGATAGCAATAGTTATCTAGAATATCAAGTAAAAGGGTCATTACCCAATGGCGTTCCAACTATCTGGGGTGTTGGGAGGGTATGGACCTAAGCTTTGGCATTTATTTATGAAAATACTATGGTACAGAAACAGTTTCAGTACTGGCACCGTGAAATGCATCTTGATCAGCAAATGTTGCAGAATGATCTCTGTGATGTTGCATCCCATGTGGTTGCAAAACCAATGTAGCAACGTTGCATGCTTAGCACGATGCAACCAAGGTTCAAAATTTTGTAACGTATCGGCCCGTATTGGTGGGTCAATGATACGCTAAATAAGGGAGCTTTGGGGGTTTGACCTATTTCAGGGGGTAGACAGGCCTAAGAGACCTACCCCTTGACCTATTTTTGTAAAAAACTAAAAAAATGGTGGGTGCAAGGTTCAAAGTACTGATACACCCCTTGCACATCAGGGTGTATAGATACTTTGAAGGTTGGTTGCAACATAAATTGTTCATTATCCAACATTTACTGTTCAAGGTGCATTTCGCGGTACTGGCACTAAAAGAAGTATTTTCATACCATAGAATTGCTTGCATATTTAATCTTGATTAATATGAATGACTAAAAGGAAAGAAAAATATATAAAAACTTGAATCTATGTCCAAAATCACCAAGCATTTAACAAGGTAGAAATGTGCTAAGCACAGGTAACACTCCTTGCATGTCACAGGCATATTTAACATATTACCGTGACTAATCATGCTATATCATTTGAGTCATAGTAACAACAATATCCTACAGTAAGTTTAGTCTTTTATCTGGTTCAAAAGAAGCAAAACATTCAACAGTATGAGAGAGGTTACCTCTTCAAATACTTTAGTGTAAAGTGAGAGGGCTACAGGGGCATTGTATATCCCTGCACATCCACAAGGGCATTCTTTTCGTTGTCGCTCATGAGGAGCACTATCAGTTCCAAGAAAAAATCGTTTGCTTCCACTTGTTACTGCTGATACAATTGCCTGTCCTGTATGGAAAGCAAATTAATGGTTTCAATTACAACAGTACCTGATTAAAAGCAAATGCAACTTTACAAGAAAGAAAATTGATTCGGAATAAAATGTAGAACATAAAATCATAAATATCAAAAATGAACAAATACAGTGCTTCTCATGAAGTGCAGTGGTTGAAATCCTCAAAAATTAAGGATAAAAATACCTCAAATACTTCAGAGACAGCCTTCATTTCCAAGAGAGAGAAGTATAATAATTTCCACATAAGACAATAGAGATCTTCAAAGACTATGACACATTTTTTATGTTTTGGACAAGCAAACTCTAGAAGCTAATTGTCTGTTGTGATGACCAGAAGGCTTGAGAAAAAACAGTTTTGCACTTGAAGCTTAGCGTGTGATAGAACAACCATTAGGAAACTTCTAAATAAGAAAATTCTCTAGATCCTTCAAAGAGAAAGGTCAAAACTAAGACCAACTATGATACCTAATAAACTGAAAACCAGTCAAGAGTATCATAGAAGTGGTAACCAATCAAATGGTATTCATCAAAATTCACAGGGGGGGTGGGGGTTCTGATTGGTCAAAGTTCTGGTATCACATCCTTCTGGCATTATATAAATTGCTGTTAGAATATTCATGTAATTTCACCTCAAATCTCTCCCTCTTGGTAAATGCATTAAATTTCTTCAGAAATTGGTAACAGAAGTATCTTGAACCTGAAGAAGTTGGAGCTTTCAAAAAAGTATGTTTACGATTCTAACAGGAAAATCATATCTACAGCCAATGACATGCATTTGCATTGCCATGCCTGTGCTGGTACCATCCAGCACAACTCTGGGGCTGTGCTGTCTGTGTTCTATGGTTTTACTAAGCCAAATTGCAACTCTATGCCTAGAACATGCTTTTTCCTAGTGCTAATCTAAGTGTGGCACGATTGTCGTCTCAGGCCTAGCTGATTAGGGTATGCTTTAGTTGTTTATATATAATATTACACAGAGAAAAGAAGAAGCATAAGAATATTTGATGGGTAATCTAAGTATTTAATAGCCTGAGGCCTCTCCTCATCATCATCTAGGCCTTGTCCCAACTATATGAGGTTGGCTATATGAATCCTGGTTTACCATTCTGCTCTGTTCAGTGTCATATCCATTGCTAAATTATATGCCCTTAAATAATTTCTTACTACTTCAACATTCAACCCATGCCCTTCTTGGTCTATCCCTAGTTCGTCACTTCTTCTAGACCCTTCAACTTGTAAAAGATCACTTCCTCTTATGGGTGCTGCAGATGGTTTTCTTTGCATGCAACCAAACCATCTTAGTCTACTTCCACTTGTTTCATCAACTATTGCATCTACTCCTAGCTTCCTTTGAATGACTTCATTTCTAACCCTGTCCTTTCTAGTTTTTCCACTCATCCATCTCAACATTCGCATTGCTTACAACTTTTTTTTTATAAATATTACTTACAATCATTTTATAGAGTAGCAAGAAGCCCCTGCTCATCATTATTGATATAACACTTACAAAACGTTGGATCTGGCCAAATAAACAAAGAAAAATATGTGAAAAGGTAAAGAGTTGATCAATAAATGAAATGGCTGAATTAACAATACTGAAAAGATATAAAATCCAATTCATCACTCTTACAATAAATATTCATCCAAAATGAGCACAATACTATGATGCAATAAATGAGTGAAGTTTCTCATAGCTATATTGTGTTATTTTAAAAAGAGAATCTCTATGAGCCATATATTGGATCATCATGGAAAAACATGATGCCTTTATGGTAAGCTCTAGAGTGTAGAAAAAAAGTGGAACATACTGTGGATCTCTCTCTTCAAGACTGGAAGGCAGTAATTATGTGGCTGTAGTCCTCCTTGAAACAAAGCATTCCTATTGAGAAGGAGATGCTGTGGTGTTACAGTGGCAGCAATATATCCTAATGAAAAAGATTTCAAATATGAATATATAAAATAAAATGGGGCCTTAAGAAGTTAAAAGTAATGAATTAAATGTGTCTGATGAGACATCACAATTAGCAAAGATACCTTCAGTACAAGACTCAACAAACCTCACAGCATCTAGAGTAGTGATATGTTCCATTACAACTTTTAGCTGTGGAAGCTTTTCAACTAGTGGTCTTAAAATGGTATTGATGAAAACCTTTTCACGATCAAATACATCAACTTCTGGATCTGTTACTTCCCCATGAACCTGTGTAATAGTATCATAGAACTGAATTTCAGTGAAATTTTGTAAGCGAACATTACAGTGCCTTATGATACACAACCAACAATGTTTCATCACATGGGAGGCAACTGCCTAAGTCCTAACTCATAATACTAGCAATATAAAGAATATTTGGGCTAGAATGATATTAAAAAAAAAAAACCCTTAGATACAATTTCCATCAAGAGGTTAAGGTTCTAACTCATAATGCTCCATCCTCCTGTTACAGAGTAGACAGGGGTAATGCAAAAAGCAAAAGGCAGATTGACCCTTTTGTGAAAGCCTTATATCTTAACTCATGGTCAAGCACAGAGAAGCTGTAAAATTCATAAGCTTCACGGAATGTAACTGCTAAAACAATTTTCAAGACTCCCTCATACCTTTTATTTTAGTCTTCTCAGTAAAATAAGGCATGCCTGATTTTTTTTTATATGATTACTTTTTCAAAGTATAATACCAAAGACAACATAGTCACTTATTTCAAAATGATCAGAGCTTCATCAAAGGCCTTTACCCAATGCTGGTCCCATCCATCCAAGATCCTGGGAGGGGTAGACTGGATATGGACATATCCTGCAGTTATATAAGTCACCCAACCTTTTATTTTTGGACTTTAAACCTAGGTAATACATCATTAGCCCATCACAGCTTCTAGGAATTTCTTTTAAACAAAAGTTATGCTACACTAAGGTACAACCAAGCAAAATTGATTGGCAATTAACTTCTAATTACATTAACTGGAAAAAAATTCCAAGCATGAAACCATTATATTGTAGTCAGGTCCATTAGCAGATTTACCAGCAAAGGCATATTATGCTGAACCATCTCCTCAAGAACAGGTAGACACTTCCCAAAAAGATCAGTAACACCATCTTGAGAATTTGTAGTAGCACCAGCAGGGTACAACTTCACAGCAAAAACTATCCCACTCTTTCCTGTCAGACCAGTTGATGTTTGATTAGAACATAGTTTGAGGAAATTGACTCTAGAGTATACATTCACTTCTTTCCCAATGATGCAGTTCCAGTATATTTACCATATGTGCAGCAAAAACTTTATTGAGAAAATGAAAAGTATATAATTCTATTCAAAAACTTCAGGTGTGCTTACAGAAGATAGTCACAGCAACCATACACTGAGAAACTATGCATCCACACAATTGACTCGTAAACAAAACTGATGAGTCAGGCATTTAACTCAGCAAAACATCTAAAGAAAAACTCTTATGAAAGGGAAAATTGTTGAAGATTCTTGGTGCAGATAACCAATTGAATGTTGTTGCAGTGTATTTCTTAGCATCTCATCCTCTTTTACAGTTTTGTTCTAAAAACTTCTTAACTACCATTCCTTCCACATTGTCCATATAATAGCTGCAAGGATTGTCTCCCAAATTTTCTTCCCCTTCTTACCCAAACTCCCTATGCCATCCTTCCACATAATGGGATTAATGACACCACAAGCTAAAACAAGCATGTTGAAAGTAGAAGAAATTCCCAGCATACAGATAATACTTAAAAGAAATATTCACGTAAATTTCTCTAGTTTTCTTAATAAACAGTTTATCATTAAAAATCTTTACCTTTTGAGATGCCACATTTATCTGTCAAAAGAAGTGTTTACCTTCATGTTGTTATATACTACAATTGGTATGTGGCTGCCTTGTATCAGAATACTTTTTGGTCCAAGTGGTTGCATATATGTAATTCAGTTCTAGTATTATTTGGTAGCAGTCTTTGCTCATCTTAGAAGGCTTCTTCCATATGTTAACCCTCCAAATGGAAGTCTTGAACAGACAAAAGAACTTAAACCTGAGAATCCCCATGGTTGATTTTTAGTTTCAAATGTAACATGGTATTTGAGCAATAAATGCATATCCATTCACGTTTTGTTCACTGTACAATTGAATATAAACCAAACCAGGGATAATAGAAGATATGTTAAATCACACATCGGTAGCTTCTTTCAAATAGGTAAATATATTGGCAAATGCATAGAGATGATAGCACAACAAAGAGAAGCCAGTAGGGAAAATATGCTTATGTAGTTATTTGGAATGTCACATTTTCCAAAGTAGATTTGTTTGTAGCAATTGCAAATTGAAAATTAGACTCACTGGCAAGCTTTATCTCATTGGGACTGGTCGTATCTGTTAAATAAAGTGTCATAAGGGGAGTGAAATCACTATCAGCTGGCAATGCCTTCAGTATGGATTCTTGATAAGCCACAGCAGCAGCTGTAGTGGTGATGGGAGGTTTAAGATTTGGCATCACAATTGCTCTTTTGAAATGACGTGCACTGTATGTAAGAATAGATTATGTCAGATACAACAGAAATTGAGAAAATAAGATGAATTCAGAGAAAAAAAAAAGAAAAAGAAACATAAAAAGTTGCCAAATATTATGCAAATGCAAACTCTTTGGTACAGGAACATGTTTTGCAGTACTGGTGCCACAAAAACAGTAAAGAACTATAGGCTTTAAATATTACACCCAGTGTTAGCAAGATTTATAGCCTGAATTTAAACTGGTCTCAAAGTGCAACTTTTACAGAGCAATGTGCAATATTTACAGCTCTACAATGCTTCTGTTATACCATGAAACATGTTTCTGCATGTAGAATTGCTCTTGTGCAAAATCATCTTCATAAGATCTTTGCTGCAACTAGTTGACAAATACGATGAAGAAAAGGAAACGTGTTAAAAGAAAAGGACCTGTTAGGAGCAACCGCTTCAAGAAGAACACCATCACGGAGATGAAGGTGCCAGTCATCAGGCTGTGTTATTGTCAGCTCCATCCTTACTTTTCTGCTTCTTAAAGCGTGGGGCCCTTCAACCTTTTTAAAATAAAAACTTGATGCCTAGAATCCAACAAATATCAAAATTCAGAAAAAATAAATAACAATTCCTATGATTAAGCTTAACAACAAATAAAAGAAACATCATAAAAATCAAATGCAAAACCCTAATTAAACTTTGAAGTCAATACCAAAACTTGCAAAATGGTGAATCCATAACAATGTTTAAAAACGGAGAGTCAGAGACATGAGGCAAGATGCTAGGACCTTTAGATGTGTTGTTTTTACTGTTGTTTCTTTTTCAAGTTATGGTTCCAACCAAACAGATAGCAATGCTTAACTTCCACACTTTAAGGGCCATCATGTTGTCAGTGTGCCATGTTTCTTGAGAACGCAGGCCCTTCATGCCTCTAAACACAAGTTGGTGATTGTAATGGAAATAATACATTACTGATTTGGTCTGCAATGAAGGAAATCAGATTCATGCCTATGAACAGGAAATGTGAGCTGATGTTGCAACAAATGGTCATTATACCATGTTTTGAGGCCACCATGATCAAACGAAAAAGGAACTTTTGTTCACAATATAATAGGTGAGATGAATCAAATGCAGTCCCATACTTCTATTAATCAACATAACCAAAATCAGGAAACCTTATTTACATTTTTTTTCTTGTGAATATAGTCCCTAAAGAGCATCACAGATCATCCAATGTTGAGACTTAGTTGACATAAAATAGAAGAAAAAACAAAGTAAAATATTCCTAGACATGGTGCCCTTGACAATGAAACAGATAAGAAAAGTCTTAATTTCTCAAGCCTTGTTACCAAAGTAGTTTTAAACAAATGAAAACATCCCAAAAATGAGTTGAGCCAAAATAAGAATAAAAATGAATAAATTATGAAGAAAACGCATACCTTGCAAGGAATTGTCAGAGACTTAATCATTCTAGATATTGTTCAGCAATCCAAAGCTTATCTTGAATAAAATGAAGGATTTCTCTGTTCAAAAAGTATACCTTTAGTTGTGAAAAATTTACTCCATGTCTTAAACAAAAACCATTTCCCCTTGAACTCATGTGCTAACTATCCTAAATTCCTAATATAACACATTCTAACTCTAAAATATAAATTGTCATTATCTGATGATATACAATAGTAGAACAAACAGACAAACTATAGCAGTTTCTAGGAAATACTAAACCATAAATGTCTTCTTCCGCATAAAACATTACATGAACCATGAAGCAAATGGGCTCTAAAATATAAATTAGTGTACCTTACTTGGAGCCTCTTTAGTTAATAAAACCCAGATAAGACCTTCACTGATGAAGAAAAACAATGTGATTGATGAATTGATGTCACTCTTCTACGTGTTTTGATTTTTGAGTAGAGTCATATTCAATGTAGTGAGTGTGATCCTCTCTCAAACAGATGGTACTCGCATATATAACAACAACAGAACTCTTATCCAGGAATCTCCCTAACCCGAAAGACTGAACACAAAAAGAAAAAACAATAGAAGAATTCACTCCAAGAAATGAGTGATGATGATTCCAGCTTCCAAAACACACATCATGTTTTTCAAACCATGCACGACGAAATTGGCAATAAATCTATTAATAGAAAAAAAGGAAAAAAAAAAAAAAAAACTCCATTAACAGGTTGAATGAAAATTACATCGATTCATTAGCACGAAATGGTACCTCAGAAAGGTCTAAGCTTCTTCAATGGGAGAAAGAAATCAAGTTCCCAGCAGAAATGTGGGGCCTCCTTCACTCTGCATCAGCTTATCGCTCCGGCCTCCAAGCTCTTTTGTTTAAGTTTGTCGTAATTCCGAGGAAAGTAGAGCACATATAATGGATAAATTTGTAATAATATAAAATTCTTAGGGCTATTGTTGTCCCTCCAGTTGGCCTAAGCATAACTCTTAAATGTGCAACAACGCTACCGGCGGGAATGGCTGCTCTACCAGCTTCTCAACTCCGGTGATTCTAAGGATAACGAACAGTTGCGGCATTTTGGTCCCCTCGGTCACTCCACAGCGAGAAGGTCCATTTTACCAGAAGGAATTTTTTCACTCTGTTCCTTTCATAAGAACTCCTTAGTCCTTACATATAAGTATCCGGAGAAAATTATTTGTCGATGTAGTAAATGGTGAATTACATCTCTATGAAGCTGGAAGTCAGTGAATTAAGGGGGCTGAGCAACCGAAGCCGAACCAATAATCTCGTTAATTGAATCGATCGGTTCGGTATTTCAAAAAATCGAAGGTATCGATTTCGGTTAACCATCCGAATCGATTGATATACATATATTTGTATATATTTTATGTACATTTGTATATATTATATATTTTAAATTAATAAATATATTATATATAAATATATATTTATAATATATAATATATTATTTATTATTTAAAATATAATATTTTACATATATATATATATGTAAATATAAAAAATCGAAAACTGACAAACCAAACCGATTAATCGACTAAACAATCAGCTTCGGTTTGGTTTTGGTTATAGATTTTCTAAAAACCAGTAATTATCGGTTTGATTTCAAAACTAGGCCCATGATTCAGTTAATCCAATCGTGAGCACCCTTAGCACTGATTCACTTGAGTTTGCGTTTGGTTGCAGTGCAAATCTGAACTTGATATAAATTTTGTGTTTGTGTTTGGCATCCATTTGTTTGTAACTAGGATTATTCATTTGTTTGTAACTATCATTTTCATTTTTATTTTATATAAAATTTGTACAGTTTGTCTCATTTGCACTTAATAATAGTGTAAATTTTGCATCTCAATAGCTGATGCAAAATTTACTCCACCTTCCTCCTACCTCAATTCTCTTGATATAAAGTGGCAACTACATCATTTTGCTTTCTACCTCACTCTTAGGCTCCATTTGGAAAGATTGCATATGCCAATTCAATGTATATATGCACTTTGGTTCAATTTTGCTAGTTTTTTATAAGAATGCATTTATGTCTAGAAAATGATAATAAATATAGATTTCAAAATATGTTTGCAATCAAAATGAGAGCAAATTTTGCATTAAAAAATGGATGCAAACTTTACACTGAAAGTTTATCATTGTTTGTTAAAATGACATATTTTAATATTGGGATTCGTGTTTCTACCTTTTACTACTAAAAATAATTTGACAATAGTATAAAATTATCATTCCAAGACTAACCCAAATTTGTGTTTTCATGAACCATATATATTTGCACTCTTCCCAAATAGAGACTAAACAAATAACCCTGCTGTTACCTCTATTTTCTTGCACTAGTAAATCTATATATACTTTACGTATGGCAATTTTTATGATGATAGTAAATAATATTTTTCCAATTTTTTTATATGTTTATATTTATGTGTATAAAAGTTATTCCTATTTGTTACACTTATTTTTGTTTAATGTGATGAATATACAGCATTAAAGATATGTCAAAATGCTTTTTACATTTTTTGTATTTTTAACTTTTTATTATTTAATCTTGACATCAAGGGTTGACACATTTAACTCAAAAGGTCAAATTGTTGATTCACAACCAAATAAGAAAACAACTCAATTATTGGATCAATATTAAATTTGTATTTTGTTTTCATCATCCATTAAAATAATTCAACTATGTCACACTTATTTTTCTTTAATATGGTTAATATAAAATATTAGATATGTGCCAAAATGTTTTTTACAAAATATATGTATTATTGCATAATGGTTTTTTGTTCTTATCTTTTTTTTTTAATTTTTTATTTAATTATGATATCAATGATTGACACATTTGACCCAAAAGGTTGAATTGTTAACCTACCACAATGAAAATAATTTTATTTTTGGATTGATTTTAAATTTATATTTCATTCCAACATCAATAAGAATAGTTATTATTTATTACACTTATTTTTCTTTAATATGATTAATAAGAAACATTAGAGATGTGCCCATTTTTTCTATAATTATGATGTCATGGATTAACTCATTTGGCATTGATGGTTGAATTGCTTACTCACCACCAAGATGGAATGGAAGAATGGTTCCATTTTTTATTGTTTTTAAAGAACATGTATTTTATATCATCAAAATATTGGATATAGATCTAGATTGAATTTATTAGTGAAAAATAGTTTAATTATAGGATTCAATGAGAGAATGAGAGTTAATACCCCAAATATAAGACTTAGCGAGAGGAATTAAATGAGAGTTAACCAAATAGTTAGCTATTCAAGCTCAGCTTGCCAAGAAAGTATGAGGCTCGAGCTTGGTTTAAGATAGAGACTTGAGCTCAAGTTTGGCTCGAGTCAAAAAGCTTGTAAGCTCGAGCTCGACTGTGAGTCAAATGTTTTATAAAAATAAAAACATTATATAAAAATTATTTTTATTTGATATTTAAAATAATAAGAATTATAATAATTAGTTATTATATATAATATTTTTTATATATAACATTTTTATTATATATATTATTTTCTTTGTAAAATAATTTTATATTTGTTATTTTTTATATGTATGTATATATATATATGTGTGTGTGTGTGTGTGTGTGTGTGTGTATGTATATATGTATGTAGAAGCTCGATTATGTTTGCGAGCCTTATGAGCCAAGTTTTATTAGGTTCGAGCTTGGCTCAAATAGTAAATGAGCTTAGAAATTGGGTTCGAGTTTGACTCAATTAACAAATGAGCTTGTAAATTGGGCTTGAGCTTGACTCGATTAGCAAACGAGCTTGTAAATTGGGCTCAAGCTCAGCTCAAAGCTTAGTTTAAGCTGAGTCGAGCTGAATTTTTCACAAGTTGGGCTCGAATAACTTGTGAGAAGCTCAGCTCGTGGCCACCCCTATGATGCAGTAGTCCAAATCACACTTTGTGCCTTCACAAATCACAAATAAAGAGAGAACAAATTCAAAAATATGGGTATTCTAGTCAAGAATAGGATTCAATGAATGATAACGAGAGTTAATACCTTAAAACATAATGAAATTAATTACTCATACCTCAAATATGGAGGTAAATTGCTGAAACATCTCCTAAAGTTTGGTAATTGCAATCACATCCCCTAAAACTTTTTGAGACAGTTGCAAGTAGACCCCCTCTATTAGAATCCTCTAACAAAAAACATGAAAAATGTTCAAAATGCCCATGCAATTACTACCGAAGCTAATTTCTAAAAAAAAAAAAACAATACAAACTTTATAAACACCAAAAAAATAGAGAATTTAAAGTTGCAACTTTACCTTTGATTGATTGATATGAAGGGTTAGAAAATAATTGTTCAAATTACATTTTATGTCTTTACAATTAGAGAGGGACCAATTTCAAAATTAGGATTTTAATCAAATAAAAGTTTCACACTCTCATTTACACTTTTAATAGTGGTATAGGTATAAGGTGGGACTACACCATTTTCCTTTTCACAAATAAGCAAGACAATCAAATCTGAAGCAAAAGCAAATCAGAATTTATACATTCAACCCAATTGTACTCTCATGCATCTACAATCAAACACAACCTAAAGAAAAAAAAATTATATAGGCTAATAGGAAAGGGCTTGAATTGGCACTTGCCCCAGGGTGATACTATGGTAGATAGGGAACTCGGTGGCAATTATTGTATAGATCATAGATGAGAAACAAATTATCGCAATGAGGGCAGACTTTCACAAGATAGAAGATTTCTCTTGAATGCCTTTTGTAATTGTTGTCTTTGTAAAAGTAGAGAAACTTTATAAACCTTGTATAGATTTTCCTACCTTTTCCTTCAAGTCAAACATGGCCTTAAGGTTTGTGGGTCACTCCCGGTTAGCTGGGCTCAGGCCAGGCTTAACATAGAATATTAATATGACAGGTACTGGCCCGGGAATGGATTAGCATGGCCTTCAGATATGGAGAGCAACTGAAAAAGTTCAAGCCCAACACTTAAAAAAGTTGGCCTGAACAGGTAGGAGGATGATCATTTCTAGCCTGGCCTAGGATATATGGGGCCATTGCTCTCAGGAATCAGGATGATAAGCTTAAGAATGTAGGCTCAAGTGAGAGAGGCCACTTTGTGCCAAGAAGAAAAAGAGACAAAATTTAGCTCTATATTTATATTTACCTTCTATTCCCATTTCCCAATACTCTGGTTGATTAGGAGTTAGAACCGTCATTGGGAAATGCTCCTTTATAGTAGGCCCGAAAAGACTGGACCTGTATAGGGATGAACTTGGGCCTGTGTTTTAGCTTGATTACAGGCTGACCAAGACTGGGCCCATCCTGGGCCAGGCAGCTGGAACTATAGGCCCTAAGTATATTATGGGGAGCATAAGGGTTTGAGGTTGTTTACTGAAGCATGGCCCATACAGGCCTATGGTAGGCTTGGTCTGGCGGCCCATCATCACCCCATCCTTAGAAGAAGAAGAAAAAAAAAACCTATATTGAAGTGATCCCACTAATGTAAGATTAGAATTTCCACCTATGCACGTGATTCACACGATAATAACTCAAAACTTGGGCTAAAGCACCGGTGAGTAATCCTTTCTTAATGGCGGGGGCCCCCATCATTTGATAGGGTCTAGGCTTCCAGTGAATATTCAAATGAGGAATGGGCGTAGGCCCATTTCTGCATGGTAGATGGTAGCACATGCATAGTCAACCAAACTTGGAAGCTAGAAATTGGGTGATGCCTGACAACACAAGCCATGGACGTGATCCAAGAGAAGATCACTTGCTTCTTTACCAATTTATGCAATTTCACAGGAACCATGCATTGACAATTGCTATGGATTTTGGTTAATGACAGCAGCTTTCATTGACTGGAATCATCTTTATCCAGTAAGCTATCAAAGCCCATTTCGTTCGATGGATCCATTGCTTTGAAAGAAAGGTTGCACACATTACGCTGTTGATCATCATCTCTTATGTTCCAAAGAAACAATATAGTATACGACAGCCTTGCATCCATCCTTCAATCTATTGAATCGAATTTTGAATAAAAATTAATAGTCTTTTCTGATTTCAGGCTTGAGTTGAATAGTTTTATTCAATCACATGGAGACAGAAGTATATTAAGAACCAAAGCTAGTTCTCTAATAATTACGAAATTTACAGCTAATCCTACTCAATAAGCTCCCCTCTAGCCATTCCTAGACTGTCAAAATGGCTTGGGATATGCATCCCAAAAAGCTATCACACCCTGGTTCTCTGCTTTTCCCCCCTTTGTAATCCCACAACCAAGAATTGAGAATTCTATCAAGAATTGCAGAGCTCATGGATTCTATACTCCTATTTCTTAATCTGTGTATCATATTAATCAATGGATACCCAAGAAAAATAAATTAAGACCCCTACGGGGACTCAGGATCTCCTACCCACAACAACTCTACTTAAGCCTTCCCACAAAATGCTACCTTTATGTATTGGGGACATCTCCCCCTGCATAATAACAAGAGGATAAGATATTCCTCATGTGTGGCTGCAATATTATATGCTTAGCAAAGGTTTCAGCAACTCCTCTAGCTTTGAAATGCTTCGGTTGTGCTGACTGTAACTGTTTCAATGCTTCACATTTTGCTCCAACTTTCAAACGTTTCGAAACATCTGGTATACTATTATAAACTATTGAAAAACATATTTTTTTTTAGAAAAGCAAAAAAGAGTAAAAAAATGTTGTAAAGTAATCGGGTTGACGCAGGGCCCGTTTTGATCGTCCGAGTGAAGAAGACGATAGAAACGGGTCTGTGATGACCCCCGGTTTCGATAGACCCAAATGCGAAAAGATGGGTCTGATGGACCCGTGTGATGCATGGGTCAACATGGATCCACCCATGTACAACACGGGTCTGATGGACCTATGTAATGTACGATTATTATTATTCATTGAAATCAATTATTTATTTATTTTTTTTTATGCCATGGCTTCATTTGCGATTAGATGTAGTTAGACTTTCCATTACCATTATATGGCTTTTTTTGTGCTTTGCTATAGTTACTTGATATTATATTCGTACTTTATTTGTATATTTCCATAAACTAAGCATTTGACTTTATTTTGATCATTATTTTTATAATTTATTTTAGTTCTTTGATAAATTGATTATACCATTCTTTTGATTCTTTAAATTTGTTTATAAGTGATTAACAAAAACCCGGTCCCGCTAGTTCTTTGCTAAAAGCTAAACACGATTGTCAAAATCAATCAACTCCAGATCCGCACACGTTAACTCCTGATTGGTTATGTGGCCTATTGTACACGCCATTGTCTGCAGCAGATCCCCACTCCGTTCACAAGCTATCTTCACCATCTTTCTGGTTCAAAGCCAGCTTTTATAACAACAAGCAACTGAGACTATTTTCTCTGTTACTTGTCCTGAAAACTACCCTGAAACATGGTTACACTTACACTGACAGTCTTGTGAATGAAAATTTCGGACATTGGGCTTGTTACTTGTTCAAAAGAATTAAAACAACAAAAAGTAGTGAACCCTCCAGCGCTTTAGGTTTTGTCTGCGTCTCAAGTTAGTTTTGATCTTTCACAGTTTCACCATCTGGTTCCACAATTCTATCTTGAAGTCAGTGATTGATTTGTACTTCTGGGTATTCATGCCAATATAATGGCTGCCTGTGGGCTAACTAGATTCAGTGCATGGTTTCAATCTTCTTCATTCTTCTCCGTATTAATTTGCTTTCATGCTTCTCTCTGTATTACTGTGTATATTATATTCGATGATGGTCCAAAATTAGTTTCATCATTGCTTACCCTGATGCAATCACTAAGTCTTGCTCATTTAACATCAAGATTAATTGCCCCATTTATTCAGAAATATGGATCTTAATTAACCAGAGATCAATGTAGACTCTCTTCTTGCCACAGAACAAGGCCATAAGAAGCGGAAAGAAGAAAGAATATTTCTTTTACAGTTTTATTGAAGAGCAAACTTGTTTACACCTTTGTATCTAAGAGAAGAATGAAGAAGAAGACTAGAAAGCACAAATTAACAACTCCAAACCCATTCTCATTAAACTCTTCTACTTTTATTATCACATATATGACATATCATCTCCTCCATCTCTGGCTCTCCGTCTCTCTGTCACCCTTAGCTATCTCAAACCTCGTCAATTACGTAAACACACTACCTTGTAAGATTATGAGAACAAATGATTAATCAAGCATACCCACAAGCTCCAAACTCACATTTGACTCCCGGCAAGCACTTGTTACCGCACTTGCCGCAGTTGCTGGCGTTGTAGGCTGCATTGGTGCAGCTCCCATGGCAGCAGAGCTCTGCAAATCCACACTTGTGCCCGCACCGCCCACAGTTGTTCCGGTCTCCAAGAACATTGCGGCAATGCGTCTTGCAGCACTGAAGAAGCCCGGTCCCGTTGTTCACCGATACCCCATTACAGATGCTGTTCCTAGAGACGTCACAGTGTGCACCCTTCCTGATTCTGGCGAGGAACCGTTTTCCTGCCAGGGCGTTGGTGAAGGGGTTGTCCACCACATAGTCTTCACCGTCTTCTATGTCCTGGGAGAAAACGATATGGGTGTGCAAGATCAGAACCAAAGCAAGGATTACAGTTACAGAGAGGATGGTGGGAAGCTTAAGGAAAGTGGTGGCCATTCTCTCTCGAGGGAAGGCGTCCATGAGAGTGAGGAGGGCAAGAGACGAACTGGGTATTTGAGAATGCGGCTATCTGATAAAATTAATATTCCATGATCAGAGACTGAGAGAAGTTTCTATTGATCAGTCTTGATGGGTTTTAATTGGAAGCCTAGATTCTAGCTACCATGAATTATGAGTTATTTATAATGCAAATGGGGAATTGATATCACAAGGTGGGTTGTATAAAACTTAATTATTTGTGCCTTGACAGAACTACAGGAGTCCTCCTTATTGCTTGACCGTGAAGTTGCCGGATGGTCGTGGTGATCTCCTTTTCCGGCGCGAAACGCGTAATTAGAGACTCGATTCATAGACTATATAATCGGTGAGGGCAGGTTGAGCCTTGAGGACTTGAGGTTGAGGATCCCAACACCGGGTCATGGTTTGTGGCCTTGTGGCCTTAATTAAAGGATACACATACGTGTGATGATCTTGTTTGTCGATTCCAATTTGCCTCCAATAATAAACAAATCACGGCCGCACAAATCTTAATAATGTTATTGTGTGTTTGCTAGGGTCTAGGGATGATCATGGGTGGGCTGGGTTGGGCTTGGGCCATGTTTCTACAATGTAATAACAGAGATAAGAGCCTCATAATACATGTTATTCCAGGTTTCTACAGGCCGGTCCTGGTTGGACCTGTTGATCCATAATTAGGCTAGAATCAGAATCCGTTTTTTTTTTTTTTTGGGAAAATTCCTCATAGTTACTCTGTACTTTAGGTTGGGTGCCAATTAGTACACATACTTTAAATTGTGACAATCTAGTACTCGAACTTTTAATTTGGGATAATTTGATACCCGACGTTAGATTTCCATCGGTTAGTAGATAAAAAGTCTTAAATACCCCTAGTGCTATTTTGACTGATTAAAATTACTAAAATAGCCCATCGATCAGTGCAAGTAGGAACCACTATTCATACTTGCATTTACAGAGAATCCGAGAACCAACTACCTCAAGCCGGTGGTGTCAGGTGAATGTGCAGTTGATTTCGATGTATACGATGCCAAAAAATTCTTGCTCCCACCATTTACTCAGCCATTGCCGAAGAAGATGACTTGTTTCTGGTGTAAACACCCCATTTTTGCACTCATCAGTCTTTCTGTAGCACTTTGAGCTACAAGCATGCTTTAGCTAACCTTGCAGTTGACCTGGGGGTATTTTTGGAATTTTACAAAAGTTGGGGCCTCAAGGATCCAAAACATAAGTACGTAGAGACCGAAAAACCAAACACAATGACACCAATGTCACCCAAATCTAACACTGTTTACCCCTTCATCTTTAGACCCAAAGTCGGAACCGATTCCGATCGTCCCATCACAGTCATTTTGACCCTAAACCACATTTCACACCAAATCAAAAATCCAAAACCATAGGTACGTAGAGTTTGAAAATCCGAATCCAACAACACCAAGATCGCCTAAGCCCGACATTGTTTACCCCTTCATCTCAAGACCCGAAGCCGGAACTGATTCCAATCTTCCAATCGGAGTCATTTTGATCATAAGCTTCATTTCACATCAAATCTAAAATCCGAGACCATAGGTACGTACAACCCAAAAATCCAAATCCAACAACACCAAGATCACCCAAGTCCAACACCGCTTACACCATCATCCTAAGACTCGAAGCCGAAACTGATTCCGATCGTCCCATCAGAGTCATTTTAATCCTAATTCTCATTTCACATCAAATCCAAAATCCAAGACCATAGGTATGTAGAGCCCAAAAATGCGAATCCAACGACACCAAGATCACTCGACTCCGACACCATTTACCCCATCATCCTAAGACCCAAAGTCGAAATCGATTTTGATCGTCCGATCAGAGTCATTTTAATCCTAATCCTCATTTCACATAAAATCCAAAATCTGAGACCATAGGTACGTAGAACCCAATGAAAGGGATGAGAGATCCATCATATGGATGGCCGAACCCTGTAGGAAGGTTGAACGAAATTTCAAAATTTCTCTCTCTCCTATCTGGGAATCGCATTCCCTATTTTAGGAAACTGCATTTTCAATGATCAATCTTGAACCAAACCGGACCAAATTTAAAAACAAATGGGAGGAGAGAGATATACCTGATACGGAGTATCAATAACTCCCACTGAAGGTGTTCACGCCTAAGGAGAAAACAAAAACCTACTTCTATTGAAGATGACACAGTGTGAAATGATGCAGGATCAGCAGGATCACTCTTCAGCAAAAACCGAATTCTTCAGCAAGAATGGAGTAAAGGGCTGATAAGCACGACTTCAGATTGCTTCTTCTACCAAGAAGCAATATCAAGAACAATTCTTGCTTACTCCCACAAGTGGAGATCGAATTGGTTAGGGGCAGCAAGAATAGGGAAGAACTCTACAATTTGCTGTGTCTTGCTTGGTGTATTTTGCATGTCCGCCCTGCTCTCTTATTTATAGACTTAAAGAGACAATCTCATAATCTGATTAAGAGTTTCTTAATCCAAATCTTTATTTGGATATGGGCTCTTTAAGTGGATAAGGCTTATCCTCTTATCCTTATTTACTTATATCTAAACACAGAATCACCCCTATTTAATTAATCTAATTAACCTAATTCGAATTGGGCTTTAGGCCCATTAAGTTTATGTGATCACTTAACCTCTTAACTTGCTGCTTAGTTGGCTCTCTTTGTATGGCGTGGGACCCAAACATTGATCTACACATCAACCACATGGGTTCAGCCCAATCTTTGTTACAAGGCCTGGCCGAATTCACTGTAGGAGACAATGAACCCCTAAGCCCATCACTATGGACTCTTAATGGGCCCAACATTTACACTAAATGGTCCTTGGGTCCAACCACCGTATGAAAACCCAAGGACTGTGAACAGATGCAAGATTAGCCCATCAGGTATTACCATCAATGGTCTTACACTCAACCTCTCAGCCCATAATGATCAAACACTATCTGACAAGAGAGGACCTCTCCTTCGGCTGCAAGGAACAGTGCTGCACTCTCTACTCACATGGATCACGAGAATTAAAACCTTTTGCAAACATTTTGAAACCATAACATATATATATATATATATGTATATATGTATGTATGTATGTATGTATGCATGTATATCTCTATAAATATATTTTGCAAAAACAAATTTCAACGATTGAAATCAATTGCTGGCAGTTTAAGTTTTCATCAAAGAGAGTGCATCCCCGATCATTTACTTTGTCCGACAAAGGGGCTGATCCTGTCGCTATGATCACCCACTCAGGTGAATTCTCAGACTGTCCCAACATACCCAAGTTTTGACCCATCTAAGGATCTCACTGATTGGCATATCAAAGACAACCCAATCCGACACCTAGTGTAGTACCATAGTCGAGTCTAGGGGTCAGGTGTAACATTCCAGTTTTGCCTATCTATCTCCAAGGTCCAAGGCAATACTGGAATTTTGGACCGGTTCAGGCTTTCAAGAAAATCCACACTACATGTACCGTAGGTCTCACCCTAGCAGTTGAGACAAGCCACCTCAACCGACTTGGCGGTACATCAGTGTCAGCCATGGCAGGATAAATTTTCCCAGATCTATCCAACAGATATGAAGATTCTAAACTAACACAAGTCTCGTAAGTGTCCAATTTAAGGGTGTTACACAAAAAGACATCGCAATGACATGAATCAATTATGTACTTTATTCATTTACAATAAATGCCAAAAGATATATCAATCTGATTGGAGCTAAGAGCATAACTGTCTAACACCCAAAAATCCAAATCCAACAACACCAAGATCACCCAAATCTGACACCGCTTACCCCTTCATCTCAAGACCTGAAATCGGAACCGATTCCGATCGTCCGATCGGGATCATCTCTGATCCTAAATCCTAACCCCCCATAAAATCTGAAATCCAACCTTGTAGATGGATAGAACTCAAAATTTTGAGTCCAACGGTACCAGGATCGTCCAATTCCGACACCGTTAGCCCCTCCATCTTGAGACCCAAAGCTAGACTCGATTCGGGCCCTCCGTTTAGAATCCTCCACACAATAACTTCGAACCTAGGGCATTACACAACCCAAACTTCCCCTCAGCCTCTAGAAACATCTTAAAAATCTATGATTTGACTAGTTATGGCTTCCAATCAATCAAGCCAATCACCTAAACTTGGAATATCCAGTTTAGATAAATTGGTGAAATCTTTCACTTTTTGTCTTGATTGATTGAGAGAATCTCTCACAAAGCTGTCTTGACACCCCATTCTCACAATCAATCTCCCTCCGAAAACTATTCAAACATCAACCATTGATCTCCCTGATCTTTCGTCTCAGCCCTCCATTCCCCTCTCAAAAAATCTATAAATACCACCCATTTTTCACATCCAAAACACACAAGACTAGAGTAATTACTTTATACTCACTAATATAGAGAATACCCCCATTCACATTCCCCACATCCTTCTATCCCACCACATCAATCTTAAGTCTAAAAACCCCCTAGGTCAAGCCACATTGGAGAAGAAAGCCGAAGCATTCTTGAAGATTGAAGTTGTTGCAGAAATGTTGAAGGCGTGCAACATCGTTTATTGGGCTACATGAACAACACTTTCTCATTCCTCGGGCCAAAACATATCTGCTGCTAAATGCATCCCTCTTACCTCTAGATCGATCATATTCAAGGTGAGTTCACGATCTTGGGTTGATTTGTTTGATCTGCTCATTGTTGCTAGTAAATTGTTAAGGATTTTTTTTATCGGCTTGATCAAATAATCATATGTTTCTTTCAAGGATTTTTGCAACATCTTCGTTATTAGTTTGACCAATGATGGATTGTTTTCACTAGTAGATAATCAAATTTATCAATAGTCATCAATTCACATCACCAAGGTTAACTAGATTTCATCAATAATTAGTTAGCCTACGGTTGATTTTCAAGTTTGTAGCATAAGTTCTATCATTGTGATTATTATTAGTCTCAAGTGTTGAAAATGACTTAATTAATTGATTTGTTTATAATACGGGCATGCATGCATATGTTCAATTATTATATTTCTCATGTGGTTAACCGATTGTTTATATCTTTTCCACCATTTCCATTATATGCATTAATTAGGCCTGGCCTTCTTTAACATTTAC